AGGCGCTGCCGTGTGCAGAGGGGGCACTGCGGCGGCTCCTGGCTCTGGCCTGTAGCTGGGCACCTGTGAGGGGCCCTGCTGCCTTGCTCAAGAAATCTGTCTGCAGTGGCCGCCCCTAGCCAGAACCCAGCCCCCGGGAGCCACCAGGGCAGCCCTGTGCTTTAAGGGGCAGTAGGCAGTGAGGAGAAGGGGGCAGACCTCCTCCCACCCCACCCCCGGGTTTGGGGAACAAGTCAGGCCCTCCCCAGCAGAGCTGTTCTACTGGTGAGGAAACCAGAGGTAGCCCTGGCCCATGTGCCCACTGGTGCCCCCAAGCCGTGCAGATGGACGGGGGCTGGCTGAGTCGGGGGTCGCCTCCAGGGCAGGCAGCAGGGCGGAGCCAGCTACCGCACAACTTCCAGGCCCCTGTACCCCATTCAGAAACGGGGGTGCCAGCTTACCCTGCAGGACTAGGGGGACTGAGCCTCCCCCTGACCTCTCCAGGGATAGAGGCCCCCATTTCCATAAGCATCGACCGCTGGACAAAGGGACCCTGGGGCTGCAGGCGTGGGCCTGCAGATCCCAGGCCCCCCCCTCCCCCGCAGGGAGCTCTTGTGCCAGGACCTTGGCAGGTCACAGCTCCCACCCAGCCCTGGAGACAGGGTCCTACTGCACTGAGGCTGAAGCCAAATATGGGGGACCCAGATCAGGCTGGAAATCACAGCCCTCGTGCAGGGACAGGAGGGCACTGAGCCTTCAACCTCAGACGACAACAAGGGAAGACCCCAGGGTGGGACCCTCCGGGGACTCTGATTCAGGGCCCTGCTTTATGCCTCCGGGCCTGGACAGTCACAGCCTTGTCCACAAGCCCACAGGTGCCCATCCCCTGCTGTGGGCGTGGCTTCTCAAACACCTGTCTGTCCATTCATCTGTTTATCTGTCCCTAAGTGCTCTCTGACACAGGCCCAGACCGTCGACCAGCACCACTGATTCCCTACTGTCCTGCGGCCCTGAAGAGTCTCCTCTGGGAACAGTCCCTAAGGCACAGACGTGGCCTGGGTCCCTGTGTGTGCGAGGGACATGCTACATTCCAGCACCCCTGCCCCTGCCCCTGCCCCGGGATGGGCTCTCCCCTCATGACGGGCACAGACTCTTGCAACTAAAACATCTGGATTTGTCAAGAAAAAGACCCTCACCAGCTCCAGGGCGTGCTGGCTCTGCCCGGCCGTCCGCGCGAGGCGCCTGCAGAGGCCGAGGCACAGCGAGGAGACCACCAGGATGCCCAGGTCGGGGGCCACCAGGCGGACGGCGTTGGGGATGTCCTTCAGGTCCAGCCTGGGAAGGGCAGGGAGAGCCCGTGGGTCAGCTCAGGCGGGTGGGCGCCGGTGGGGGGCCCCACTCGGGTCTGGGAAGCCTGAGGGAGTCTGGGGTCTCTTACCTCGTGACCCCAATGTGGCGGGAGATGTTGTCCCAGGTGCTGCCTGCAGAGAGGCCCAGGGGGGCTGGGTCAGGTGGGGGGGACTGAGAAACCGCCCCCCCTTGTCACCAGGAGGCCCTCGGGAGCCCCAAGACTTCGGGGATCCTCAAAATCACACCTATACTGGGAGGGAAACTGAGGCCCAGGCAGGGAAGGCCAGGTGGATCCAAGGCCCCTTAGTTCTGCCCAGCAGCACAGGTTTCACAGCCTAGCTGGGTGGCCATGATGGGGCCAGAAGCGGCCTGGGAGGCTCAGCCCAGCTCCCAGACCCATCGGTCAAGACCAGTTGCTTTTTGGGCCCAGGACCAGGGGGCCCTCGAGTCACCTGCAGGGAAAGCACCACCATCACAGAATCAAAACGGGAAGCTGGGCGGAGCACCCTGCCCACCACGAGCCAGGCAGGGCCTGGAGGTGGGAGGCCCCACGACGGGGTGGGGATGGGAGTCCAGGGTCCCCACACCTGAAGATCGGGGCGCTGGTGTCAGTGGGGGTGGGGGGGCTCGGTGCCAGCTGAAGTCTCCATCCATGGGGGAAAGGGTGTGAAGGGTGTCGGGTGCGCAGGGCACCGCGGGCTGCTGGTGCCACCCTGCCTAGAGGCTAAGGCCCAGCAGGCACAGGAGGAAGATGTGACAGAGCCATGGGAAGACCGGGGCTGCCCTGTGAACTGGCCTCTGGGCTCCGGGATTAGCTTTGTGCCGGTGCTCAGCCCAGGCCCACGGCCACCCATTGCTGGGCCACAGGCCACCTCAGTGGGACAGAAATCACAGTGGTTCACGCTGGGGAACCCCTGGGTGAGGCAGGGCAGCCCATGAAGCTGAGGTGACCTCCCCCAGAGAACGGGAGAACCCCCTGCCCTGACCTCCATTTGCTCAGGAAGGCCACAGCTCTCCCCCAGGCCTGCTGCCCCCCAGCACCCCGACCCTGGCCCCTTGGTGACTCACAGCTAGGCCCCAGAAGCTGGTCCAGGCGTGGCACGGTGTGCAGGCATATCTGGAAGGTGAGGTGGGCTGCCAGGAAGAGGAGGCTGAAGCCCAGCAGGGCTTGGAGGAGGCGGCCGGTGTGACCTGCAGGCAGAGAAGGCAGGAGTGAGGCCGGCACGCAGCTGGACCTGAAGGCAGATGGGGAGGGGGCAGACCCGCCAACAGTCCTGGGCCAGGCTGTGTCCACCAGCCCAAGACACGCACCCAGCACAGCGCCAGGTCCTGGGGGGCTGTCAGCAGTGAGCTCATGCAGTGCACCCCCCGACACCATCCACTGACCATGCACAGCAGCCCCACGGGCTGGTGCTATCTCCACCACAATTCACAGACTGGAAAATGTGCACAGAGAGGTAAAGTGACCTGACTACCGTCACACAGCAGAGAATCAGTGCTTGCCTGCACTGGGATCTTGCCCCTGCCTGGGGTGGAGGCTGGCAGCGGGGCAGAGCCAGCACAGGAAGGAAAGGGCTCCCCAGGCTAGGGGGCCACCTCCAGATCTGTTCATGTACCCAGCAAGCACATGCTGCTGCTCAGCCCTGGTAGAAGGCACTGCCTCACCCTCAGCGTGGGCTGGAACCACGCACCGCAATCAGTGGGTGTGTGGGGGTTCCTGACTCTTCAAGGGGTAAGCCTCCGTCTCCTGGTGGGGTATTGGGAGGCTAACGGCTTCCAACGCATCCATGGAATGAGTCCCTGCAGAAATGTCGGCCCAGCACCCTGTGCCAGGTGCATCCAAGCACCTCACAGGCCACATTCCGTCCATCCTCAAGCCCCACCACCTGTCAGGCCCCCCTCGTGCAGGGAGAAGCTGTCTGGAGCCCAGGAGCGGCAGTACTGGCAGGGCAGCCCACACAAGCACCCTCTCTGCACCTCATGCCTGGAGGGACGTGGTGGCCGTAACTGGGCCTGGACCCTGCTCCCCAGGCTGCGGGACTCAGCCCATCGGGCAGGGGTGTGGGCTTCAGGGAAAGTGGGGCAACGGTGCCTGTGCTCAGAGAGGACCCAGGGACCCGGGTCACTGCTGCTCTGTGGGCAGGCGGCAGCTCACAGCCCGTACGTGGCTGGGACCAGAAACCTCCATTCACTGTCGGATTCCCACACACTGACTGAGCCCCAAATCCTGGGTCCAGGGTCTGGCTGCGGGCAGCTCCCTCCCACGGCTCCCTCCCACGTCCCCAGACCCGCTGCTGGATGATTTACTGCTGAGAACCTGCAGGCCAGCCCGGTCAGTCCCTCCCTTGATGTCCCGGAGCTCGGGGACAGATGGGGTCACCAACAAGCCAGCTCTCTTCCTCCCGCCCAGAGGCTGCAAACCAGGGCCTACGTCCGCTGCGCTCACCGTGTCTGAAGGCAGCCGGTATTTGCTGAATGAACAGACTCAGAAGTGGCCCACCCCTGGGGCTGGCCTGGCAGGTGACACTCCTGCCGTGATGGGCGCCTCGTCCATGCGAGGACCCACAGGTCAGGAGAAGGACACCCTCACCTGGCTCCTGACTGACCGCCTCCCCGTCCAGCGCCTCGCGGACATCTGTCTGTCTGGCAGAGGTGTCAGATGTAACTCCTTTCCCACGGTTCCCCCTCCCCAGTCCACTTCTCAGAATGACCACAAGGGGGCCTGGACCACGAGCCAGCACAGAGCCAAAGGGACAGAGCCCTGGCCATGCAGCCGTGGCTCTGCCCATCTGGGGCTGAATCACCCAGAGCGGGGAGAGGCAGAGAGGGGTCCGAGAGGCACCAGAGACGAGACCCTGTGCCCGGGGCAAGGCCGCACTGACCAGAGGTGGGGTGAGGGACAAACGGAGGCTGAGGCTGGCGTCCTGACCTCACCCTCTTCTCCGGGGGTGGCCGTGGGACCCCATCTGCCCACCAGTGCCTCCAGTGTCCGTCTCTAATAGGTCCCCGAGCCTGAGCTCCCAGTGCCTCTTTAAGGGGTGCTGGCATCTGGACCTCACAGGTCAGTTTCCTGCCTCTCCTGCCAGGCTGACGCCCAGCAAGCGGGGCCTGGACTGACCCATCAAAGGCAAGCCTTGCCTGGCATGCAGTCACACCGCTAGGCAAGCCAGACACTCTCCTGCCTCACTGAGCTCAGCCTCAGACCCTGTGAGGCAGTCCTACCCTGTGAATTCACACAGTGGATGGAGGGACAGATGGCTGGCTGCAGGGACGGGTGAGGCCAGAGGGCAGCTCTGACTTGAGAGAGGGGAGGGGGGTTCAGGCTGCCATGGGGCCCCTGAATTGTCTGGGAGGGATAAAGCGGGTGGCAAGTGACCACTAGAGCCCACCTCTGTGGGCGCCAAGGTTCGGCCCCAGTGGTGGAAGGAGTGGGTGTCACTGGTGGTGGTGCAGGGCCTCTGCGGCGGGGGCGCTGGACCACCCACTGCAGCTGTGGGAAGGGGCTGCCTGCCTGTCCTTGGACCTGGTCCCTCACCAGGACAGGAGAAGCCCGCACGGCACGGGGCACACCGTGGAAGGACAAGGCCCCGCCCCCATGGGCAGGTGACCCCCACCATGTCCATGCTTGAGTCCCTAAGTTAATAAGGCCACCGGGAGAGGACTGAGGGTCTGCCTGCAGCTTCTGCTGTGCCGCTGCCCAGCCCTGCACAGGGCATGTGGCCCTGGCCCGCCGCCCCCTTGCCCGCTAAGCAATGGAGCAGGAGCTTTCCCGAGGACACGATGAGGTGGACACCTCTGGACCCCACTCCGCCTGCACAGGGAGCTGGGGTCAGGCGGAAGCCCATACGGGGACGGGGCCAGGAGTCAGTGCCCGGGGGCCCTGGGCAGCCTCAGACCTTCCACCAGGGGCCGGTGCCACGGCCCAGCTGCTGCGCAAGATAGATGGGCGGCCAAGTGCGCAGGGACCAGCAGGCAGGCCTCACATGTTCCTCTCTCCCACCCGGAAAAACCGGCAGCCTCCCAGTTCCTGAAGGGCCTCTGAGGCTGGACAGATGGACGATGGACGGGGGAGGTCAGGCCGGCAAGCCACTCCCGGCGCCACCTCCGCTGCTCCCTAACCCTGCCCCGCTCTGGACTCGGGCCCTGGCCAGGGGCCTGTCCTCCCGCTGCCAGTTAGAGGGAAGTGCCCCCGGTGCTGCAGAGCGTGAAATATCGACGGGACAAGCAGCTCTTGCCGAGGGCCTGGGAACCGGCTCCGAGGCCTGGGCGACAGGCTGTGCCCAGCAGCCACCCCCGCTGGCCTGAGCTGGGCGTCAGGGGACAGCTGCGGCAGCTGGCTGGGGGGGTCTGGCCCGGGGCCCCGGTGGCTCCCAGCTCTGCGCCTGCGCTGCGGCCCCTCCCCTCCCTCTGCCCCCTGACCCCTACCTGCACTCCAAGGTCAGGGCCATGCACCAGGGCCCCTAGCGAGGAAGGGGCTGGTGGGGGTTACCGCCACATGTCACAGGCCAACCCTGTGGGAGGCAGAATGACACCCCCACCCCCAGAGACGTCAACCCTGGGGCCTGGGGACATTTCCTCACACAGCAAAGGGGGCTCCAGGCCGCCAACCAGCTGACTTAGAACAGGGCGCGGAGCCTGGATCCCCAGGCAGGCCCAGTGTCACCCCAGGGTCCCAACAGTGGGGGGGGCCAGGAGGGCAGAGTCAGAGTGACGGGGTGACACCTGACTGGCCACAGCCGCCCTGGGCGATGGAGGAAGGGGCCACAAGCCCAGAAGCCGGAAAAGACGAGGAAACGACTCTCAACGACTCTCCCCTGGAGCCTCCAGGAGGGACCGGACTGTGACACCTGGGCTTCCGCCCGTGAGGCCCAGCTGGACTCCGACCTCCCGACTGAGAGGGTGAGGGTGTCATTGTGGCCACTCACTGTAGGGACTGTCCCGGCAGCGACAGGACACGCAGACACTCCCGAGGCCGCAGAGCAGCCAGTCTGCCGTGCCGGTACGTCCCAGGGGCAGCATGCGCGGGCCTTGGCCAAACCCTCGGCCTGCTGGGCTGCTGTCCCACTGCCCCTGCTGGGCACGGGGGTCCTGCTGCCCATACCCTGCTTCCTGGGCGCCTCCCTTCAGCCTCCGCAACCCGACAGCCTTCCCCCCGACCCATGGAGGCCAGAGCTGCCTTCAGGGACGAGTCCCCAGGTACCGGACCTCACTGAAAGCTGGGATAAAAACAGACACTGAGAAGGGGGAGGACAGAGCTCAGTGGTGGAATGCATGCGTGCTTAGGTAGCACGAGGTCCTGGGTTCAATCCCCAGGACCTCCTCTAGAAAAAGTTAAGTAAACTTAATTACCCCCCCCCAAGAAAATAGTAAAGTAACATAAAATAAAAAATAAAATAAAACAAGACACTGAAACACCCAAAGACCCCTGAGAGCGGCTGGCGGGAGCCCTGAGTGGAGGGCCCCTTCCACTGTGCCCCTGTGCCAGCTGCCTGCATCTCCCATCACAGGGACCTGCCTGCGCTCTGCAGGGGCCGCCTATGCGGGGACCCTGAGGACAGGCAAAGCCTCTCTGCTCCTGACTCCCCTCCAACGAGCCTGTGCTGGGCCCCCCCCCCCGTCCAGACCCCCTGGGGGCACAGCCACCCTAATGGGGTTCCCACCCCGTCTGTCTGGTGGACACTGCCGTGGGCCCAGCTACCCAGATGGCTGGAGAGAAGGTGAGGCCCTGCAAAGCACTGGGCGAACTCACATGGGACCTGAGCCCACGGCAGGGCAGGGCGGCCCACACGGTGGGGCACAGGGCTGGGGTTGGGGTGGGGGACGGGGAAGGGAGCCGGCAGGAAGACGGCCCAGCCCACAGCGCCGGGGCCTGAGCCTCCCCATGGGGACCCCAGGGACATCCTTCAGCATGGCCCCATGACATATGCTCAGAAAAGATTCTGAAACCAGCCAAGGGTCCATCGCGGAAAATGGATCTCAGGACCACTCATCCTTCACCTGCGGCTCTTCAACCACAAAGAAAGCCCATCCCACCGACGTGTCAGCCGGAGCACCCAACGCTCCCTCCCCTGGGAACCTGGACGAAGAGTACCCAGACCCCGAGTCCCCCGGCCCCGGGCCGGGGCCCTGTCCACCTTCCTTACCTCGGATGCTGTGTCGGGAGGGGCCCGGGAACCAGGGCAGCAGCAGCAGGACCAGCAGGTAGACCAGTGAGAGCACGTTGAAGCGGAACAGGCAGGCTGCGGGGAGACGGGAGCCACAGTCAGCACAGCCACCACGGCCGCACGGCAGGGGCAGCCCACCCCCGGGCGCCCCCTGAATACCACCCCCCGAATACCTCTGCCAGAGGTGCTGTGCTCATGACCCCCGCGAGGCTGCCCGCCGCCCTGCACGGGGGAGCGACCTCACTCAGCACGGGACGTGCCACCTGCCACTCGGGGCAGCCTCACTGTCACCCGCGTCTGACAAGTGGGCTCTAGTGTCTGCCCATGTCTGGGGACCCGCCCGCGGGGCTCACCCCTCTGGGGGCCGACCCCGAGAGTGGACTGTTCTGACTCGCTCTTTTCTCCTTCGTAAGACTTTACGTCTTCAGTCACCGCAGCACAGCTGACTTCGGGGCCCAGCTCTCCGAGCCTCCTCCCTCTTCTGCCTCCCGGACGCTCAGGTGCGCCCTTCCCAGCAGCCCCGCCCAGCACTGCACTCACTCGGGCCACAGCGGGGCCCCCAGAACGTCCCATGGGGGACCGCGTGGCACGGAGACCTGGAGTCACGCCCATGCCTAGCTCCCACCTTCCCTCTTAAAGGCTCAACAACGTGTCCCCAAGTCTCACACTGCAGACACTATCCTGAGGAAGGGCAGAGGGGACGGGACCTCGCCCACCCCCCGGGAACTGAGGTGGTCAGGGGGTGCCGGGGCAAGTCTCATCACTGGGGAGCTGGACCACTCAGCCTCT